GTGTCAGGCTCTTAGATCAACTGGACGGGTAGGATATTAAGCTTCTGAGGGAAAAGGAGAAAATGGCCGCTGAGAAGATCCGGATCCTTACCCCTCTTTACCTCCGCCCATCGCCCATGCCTACCCCTTCTTCTGATTCTCCCAAAACCGACCCACCCACCTCAGGGTCCCCGATCACTGGGCTCACTTCTACTTCCCCGGCTTGGAGTTTCCGTGGCACGCCTGAATTCAATTTCGATTTTGATGGATTCTTGACCACAGAATCGCCCTCTTTATTGAATGAGACTTGGTTCTCGGTGGATAGAAAAATGACTGCAAAGCCTGGTGCTCCTAGTATGGGTGGATTGGACGATCAAGGAACGGGTTTGAATTTGGGTTCCACTGGGTTGAAGGTCTTGGAAACCGACGAAAAGGTTGAGAAAGCGATCATTTTGAAGGAACCCAACTCGAAAATATGTGAGACTGCGTCATTTACAGTTCAAGACCGATCAAGAACGGATTCGTCGAGTTCTGGGTCGAAGGAAAAAGCAGTCTTGTTTGATAGTTCGGGACGTGAGGGAGATGATCGGCCCAAACGCTTCTTGAATTGGCAGTCAGAAAAGAATTTACTGAAGAGAGCGTTGGATTCTGTGAATCATGAAGACGATAAGACTGGGAAGGATGGGCCCAGCGAAGAGAATAGTAGTGCTAAACGCACTAGAAAAGAATGCGCATTGAATTTGGACTTGGAAAATGAAACACAAAATACTACTATTCACACAGTAAAAAAAGAGTTTATGAATTCGGCTGATTGTTTACCATTGGATTCTGATGGAGTTGATGAAAGTGGTATGGGAGAGTTGCGTGGTGACAACGAAAAGGGCATTGTTACTGCAAGTATGAATGAAGCACCCAATTGGGATGATAAGGGTGATGGTGTTCAAAGGAGATTCAGCAGAGAAGAGAAAGGGAAGAGAGTATTGGACAATGGCGATTTATTCCGCAACGTTTTTCATGAATGTCATTTTGGATTAGAATCGGAATCCATCAATTTGATTGATATCGAAAATTTAGATGCGTCACATTTAGCTTGTAATGTAGCTTTACAATATGAAAAACAATGGAGAAATGCTGACAGGGCTTCACGGAGGAGGGAACTCATGGAAAATTTCCGGGATATAGCAAAGGCATATGCTGCTCACTTTGCTCGTTTTACACCAGCTGAAAAAGATGTTCATGCTTCTACCAAGGCTAATATTGAAAATGAAATTGAAGAATGGTCTGGTCCTTTCTCCACAGCCACGAAAACAATTAGAAATCGAGGAATGAAAAGTAGGCAAATGAGCTGCAACTCTTCAGAAAATTTACCTGCATCCATTAATTGGGCTCCTAGGAGTAATCAAGAGCAAATACGTGCTAGAGTCTCGGCTCCCTCGCTGCAAGAACTATGCCTTGATTTACTTGCCAAGAATGCTGATGCAATTGTTTCTCTTGAAAATGTCCCAGATGCTCTGAAGCACCAACTTTGTCAGTTGGTCTGTGATTCTCGAAAAATGAACAGTCGCTTTTTGGAACTTCTTCTTACTGGATCCCCCACAGAGATTCGACTAAGTGATTGCTCATGGATGACTGAGGAACAGTTTATAAAGGCTTTTCAATCATGTGACACTACTAATCTGGTGGTATGTTCTCTAAATTATTTGATACTCAAACTTTTCAGTATTTTGGATATTGTGTCATTTACTCAGGTTTCAGTATGTTCTTTAAGTATGATCTTTAACTTGCATCGCAGAATAACTAGGGGGTTTCTATAAACATGAAAATAATGTTTGTTCTGTATTGAGAGATGTTGGAGGTATTTGGCTGTCACAACACCCCCCCCCAAAAAAAAAAAAAACTCACACGCAAAAGCCGTGCATACATAGGATTGTTTTATGTGTTATGATGGGTGCTGAAAAGGCTTACTTGAGCTTTGTTACCAATTTCGTTTTGGCTTGGCATAGGCAGTGGATGTGATTTAATTTAACTCTTGTTGTCCTTCAGCAACTGTATTTCTGATAATCCGTTAAGTGGCTAACATACTGAAATACTCATATGGTGGGCCTCAGCTTTTAAGAATAAAAAGATAATCTTAACTTTGATTGCCCTTCAAATAATTTGGTTTCTGGTCAATATTGGATGACTCCCTTTCAATTAGTGCCCATGTTCACTATACTTGACTTAACTCGATTGATATGTTATAAGTATCACCTTTTCACTTGATTTGAATTGTAAGCGATCTTTGAAATAGTTTATTCATTTCACCCTGTGGAATAGGTGTTGCAACTTGATCAGTGTGGCCGCTGCACCCCACATCACGTGGTACTTGCTACTTTAGCACGATCACCAAACCAGTTACCTAGACTAACTAGTCTGTCCCTCAGCGGTGCATGCCGTCTTTCAGACAAGGGGTTGCATAGTCTAGTTTCTTCCACTCCGGCTCTTAGATCGATAAATCTTAGCCAATGCTCCCTTCTCACATTTCACAGTGTATTTGTTTTGGCTAATTCATTAAGATCACTTCTTAAAGAGTTGTATCTTGATGATTGCCCCAACATTAATGCTGCACTAATTGGGCCAGAACTGCAGAGCTTTGAACATTTAGAAGTCTTGTCAGTGGCAGGCATCCAAACTGTTTCTGATGATTTTATCAAGAATTTTGTGACTGAACGCGGTCATAATTTGAAGGAACTTGTCTTGAAGGATTGTGAGTGAGTACCGTTTGTGCCAGTCTATTTAATTCAATGTGTTAAATCTGAATGTCTGCTTAAGTTGTGATTATTGTCAGAAGCTGTTTGTTTCTTAGATGTTTGATTTCTATTTGTTGATGCGTAGAAAATTGACCGATTCATCAGTTAAAATTATTGCTCAATTCTGTCCTGGATTATGCTCACTTGATCTCATGAACTTGTGCAAATTAACGGATTCATCCATTGGATATCTTGCAAATGGTGCCGAGCGCTTCATACACTGAGACTCCGCCGCAATCAATTCAGGTTTAGCCCCTCCTCTCTTTTCTCTCTTGTGTTTCATCATCATCATATCATCATTTTGCATTTGGTGGGCTTCATATGTTAACCTGACGTTTAAATTTTGATCATGCACTTCTTATTTATGCTTTGCCATTCTTGTCTGTCACTGTTACCAATTTGCTCATTTACAGAGTTGACTCAGATGAGTTTCTAGCTTGTTAAAGTTTTAGGACAGCTTTCTTTGCTTCCATCTATATGTACTGTTAGAAATCTCTGAATTGCCATTTAGCTTTTCATATGTACTAAGGAAATTGAAAACATCTTGTATTCATCTTTTGTTTTGGGGAAAAAAGACCAAAATATATACTACTACTATACTATTTCCAGTTCTTAATATAAGATCCAATTGACTAATTTGAAAAAATTAATAAAGGTAATATATTAGCTTAAAGTATTTATAATAATTATTTCTGTCCAAACTAATTTATCTGACTTAGAGATTGATATATAATTTAATGATGCATATAAATATTTTAGAGAGATTGTGTAAATATATGCTATAAGCAAGTAATTCTTAGTTTCCTTAATCTCATCAAATTAGTCAACTGTGTCTTATATTAAAAATGAGAGGTAGTATTTTATTAGCATGCAATGTCTATGTCTCCAAAGAGTTGAACAAATTGAACATCTTTTGTATCTCAGTGATGAAGCCATTGCGGCTTTTCTGGAGACCACGGGAGCGTGCTTGAAAGAACTTTCACTCAATAACGTGGAAAAGGTACGTTTTTTTCCCTCCTGTCTCCAAGCTTCCTTTGGCTGGGCATGCACATGGAACCTCCTCTGCTGATAAGGCTGCTTTTTGGTAATTGGTAAACGCATTGGTTCATCAATCCATGTTTTCTAATCATCATATAATCAAAATCAATATAAAATTTACGGAAATCACATTGCTCATGAGTCATAAGCAGTGGTGCCACTTTTCTTGGGTTATCGTGTGATTTTTTTTTATATATATATATTTTTAGTATTTGTCAAAGCCTTTCACTGGGCTCCCTTCCTCGTACTGTTGTTACGTTGATCAATGTGAACCAAGGTTTGATTATATGGTTTACGCGTGACAGGTTGGCCATGACACAGCCTTGTCCCTTGGCAGCCGTGCAAGAAATTTGCATACTCTGGACCTATCATGGTGCAGAAATTTCACAGATGCTCATTTGGGCTTCATCGTCGATAACTGCTTGTCGCTGAGACTGCTTAAAGTATTTGGATGTACCCAGGTCCTATACTATTTACAAGACGAGAGTTGCATTAATTTATAATTCGATTGACTGCTATTTTATTGGAAAAAATATGTGTTGAAAAATTTAATTTTAAGATAGATGAATATGGAGCACTTGCTGCCTTATTGGATTTCACCGAGTTGATGTATTATAGAGAATAGATAAATAATTCGTCGGAGAAGACATTTACATGTTGAGATTTTTGCAGATAACAGAAAATTTTCTGTTTGGCCACTCAAATCGGGAGGTTAAGATCATTGGTTGCGTTATGTCTCCTTTACTGCAACATGTCATAGTGGCTGATCCTGAACGGCAGGGTGCTTTGCGTTATTCTCCAGCCACTTGATGAAAAATAGGAGTGGCCTGTGACATAACCAGAACTACAAACTTGAACTCGCACAGTAAAAACTCTTCATTACCGTGGCTCTAACTGAAGAGTTCTCCTTGACTTATAGGTTGTCCTTTCTGGTGCCTCCCTTGTGTAAATGCTTCTCCATGATTGACTCTGTCACTCTATTGTTCTATTTGCAGGAGTAGATTTTGCCTTTTAGGCTTTTACATAAATTTTATTTGGTCCCAGCCCAGTCAATTGTATAAACTAATTATCTTTCTCTCTCTGGAAAGTATCATAATCTGCCAGTGATTCTTCATATTCAGCATATTGAGTGATATTGATCACATACACAAAAGAAGGAAACGACATATAAAAAGAGCAAGTAGAAAGCGGAGGTAAGCACTAGGGTTCTGATTACTATTGGGGTTGCAATATATGTTTTTGTTCTTCTCTGGAGATTCATCCCGAGCGTGACACTCGTTGCTTTCTTGAACCTGTGAAAGCATACACTTGTTTGGTCTTTCTGAAACTTGATTCAGGAAGAATACAGACTGACAAACCATTTTCCTTTACAATGGAGAAAAAAGAAATGAAAACCTAAATTACAATACAGACTATAGCGCTATACCTCCCAACAAGTGCGGAGAGAGAGGAGGTACAGCCGTTTGAACTTTACAGTTGTTCAGAAACAAAATAATGCAGAGTATTTATGTCTGTAGACGAAGCAAGAATAGTTGTTCCTTCGATAATTGAGAATTTGCCATAACAACCATCTGAAAAGGCGAAGGAAGCTGCATTACTGCTTTTTGTAGGGAAGGAATACTCTTAAAGAGATCAGTGCAAGAAGTAGAAATGATTGTGTTGAGCTTACCTCAAAGCCTATCTTTTGGTACAAATTCTGTGCAGTTGTGTTATTTCTGTCCACGTGAACGAATACTTGTTCCACACCTGCTCAATAAATCATGGAATATACGGTAAGTTCTCTTTCATGATTCACAGACATATCATCAGTCAGTTGTATACTATAGGAGTCAAATTACTCTCCAACTTTAAAACTACCATTAGTTTTTGCTGATGCAACAGCATAGTACAACATGTTGCTTGCAATGCCCTGACGACGAGCTGATTTCGCAACACATACGTTTGCAATGTAGCCATATCTGCTCGGTGCTGTTCTGTCGATGCTGCAAAATCGAGGAGCCTTAACCCGTTCCTGCACAAATGAATACATCGAAGTTATGGAACTTGGTACATTGTCATGTCATTTCCCCTTCCATGGTGCCGGGATGAATGCAAGGGTATAAGATTTGGTGCATGCTTGGTTATCCGTTGGAGTAAATGACATTAAGAAAACTCAGTTTAAACATCCGGTTTTGCAAGAGCGACCTTCTATTTGCCTCGGCAAAACGACTAAAGTGTCAAAATTAAGACAATGACATACCAAATGCCTCAGAGCATCAAAATCCGTCTAGACAGGTCAGAAGACGTAGTTGTATCTCAATAAGAAGGAAGTACTATACCCCGGGAAAAGTCTCTCCCCGCAGCAAATATCGGATATTCAAATCAAGCGTTCCTACGACGCTCTTCAATATCGGGCGTTTTACATTCTTATGCTCCTTCTTCACCTGATAAACTTGACTCCAAACAACGTAAGGTTAAACGCACACATCAGGGCTAATCATTACTTTGCATAAAATCAGCGCAATAT